CTCAAGGATGGGATCCGCATTGTCATCATCGGAGTACTGTTCGGCAAAGACTGCAAAAGCCCATGAATCGCTCACATCATTGTCTGCAATCCAAAGGGGAGGACTGTGTCTGTGAACTGCTTGAGATGAGCCATCTGTGAAAATGACATAGCGGTCAACTCGTTGGACAGTCTGACATCGATCCAAAGCAAGCTTGATGAACTCCGGAAGGTCAAAAAGTGAGTAGTCTGTCCACAAGATATCGTTTGATGCGTCCATGAATGCACAAAGCTCCTGGATGTCAAACTGAATGTGGCAGGTAGATGATTCAAATTGAGCTGCGACTTCGGGTTTGATCAAAGTTGTTGATGTAGGGCGCTGTGTCTGGCGTGACGGCCATGGAGTGCGTGTGCGTAGGTCGCGCTGAATTTCTGCTTGATCTGGTTGAACATCAAGGAAATGTACACACCGCACCTTTTCCATCCAGGTTTCATTCTGCATGATCACTGCTTTATGATATCCTTTGGAATGCAAATATCGCATATGCTGTTGTTCATGAAGTTCATTGTCAGTGATGTGCACAAAGACTGGTTCACTCAAGGTGTGGTCCGCTGCACAGTACACATAGGTGTAGTCACGCAAATGGTCAAGTAACGGTAGAGCAAATACCGTGTCATGTTCTCCACAAAGGAAAATTTTGTACTGAAATCCCCAGCTACTGAGTTCTTGTTCAACATCTTCAGCTGAGTAGACCGAGTGGAGTTCCAGAAATTTTGGCGGCACAATGGTCGTGGTGTTCCTGTTGGCATATACAACTTGGATAATAGTTTTCTGTTGTGGATCAACCCAATTTTGAGGTCGGTGCTCTCCCACTTGTGGGAAAATCTCTAATCTGTCCTGCGGCCGCTGATCATGAGCCACCGTATCAGCTGTTTGGCGCTCGCATGGAACAGTCTCTTGGTCAGAGTGTGACAAAGTGACTTTTGTGATGGTTTGATGTCCATGTTGTAGTAGGGAGTTTCCGGCTCCGATCTGTGATTGGGTGGGCCTCAAGCTCAAATGTATAATGATACCATGGCCATCGCGAAGTGGGAATGGACGATCAGTGTGGATCTGAAACAAGTCGTACCACGCCCGGCAAATCATTGGAGCTCCTGGAAATATACATCTCCCACCTAGTCCAATAAAGACAAGGAGTTGATCCAGACGAAAGTGCTCATGCGTCGTGGCAACCAATTGCATGAAAGGGCCAGGTTGAGGGAGAGACCCATCAAAGCCAGTGAACAAAGCCGAGGAGAGACTGTCCTGTGGATTTTGTACCAGGATCACATGGGCTGCCACGTTGGGATGCAAATTGGGTGGTTGTGGCGTAACCACATGCAACATGATGGGAGCACCTGTGATAGTCCGGTCAGGCCATGTGCTACGCAATTGCATTGTCCACTGTCGAAAATCCGAGTAGAGCCGCACTGGTCTCGGTTGTAGACAGGTGCGTAGTCCAGGGTGGTATTGATCCACCAGCCATGTCATAACAACTGTGGAAGCTTCTTCTCCCTGCCATGAAAAGGCAGCCCTGCTCCACAGTTGGTGTAATTCTTGCACGTTCTCCGGTACTGATGCTATGTGTGGAATCGCAGGATCAAATGGTTGTGCATGAGGATTGAAGGTGAAGTTGGTGCATCCCCCTCCAGGTTGTTGGGCACTCGAACCATGTTGATCAGTGCTTCGACGTCTCCATCTTATGGCAGTTCTTTGCATCAAATCCAGTACTTCGTAAGAAGCTTCGTGGGATGAGAAAGAAAACTGCTCTCGATGAATGGTCAGGCTGCTAGCTCGTGGGAATTCGTCCCAGTCAAAGAGACCAAAGGGTATGTTGCCCAAACGAACTCTACAGCGTCCATCTTGACATACTTCATGAAGATCAACTTGTCGTAGGACATAAGCTTGATTCATGATGTCAGGGAGAGAGTGCACGCTATGCTGAAATTGACTCCTTGGTGTCTGGGAAATCGCAGTCGATATCATCCCAACCGTATGCTCCAAACGTGAGGATTGCTCCAAGATGAGATGGGCCATGATGCACTCCATGTTGGTGCGTGGCGGCTGGGGCTTCACAAGGTGGATTGTGACCTCCAAAGCAGGATCTATTGTAGTGGCCCAGGGTTCAACAATATCTTCAATCCAACTTGGAGAATCATGACTGATTCGCACTGATCTGGATTCTGTGCAACTCCTGTGAGTTTGATGGTGGATGTACCATGTTTCAAGGTAAGCAATCGGCCCTTCGTCTTCGCATTCGATGATGGAGGTGGTTTCAAAGATGCGCGCAAACAAACTACGATCTTCAAGATGTAGTTGGGCATTGAAGGCTCTTTGTTGTGGTAGTGGTCCACCCTGTGGATGTGAGCCAATGGGTTGGCCACTCCTTTCATGTTGCGGAGCAATTCTCCAAGTATCAGCTTGAAGCCATGTCTGGAATTGCGACCAAGCCTTTTCCGTCTTGTACATGGTAAGTTGGAAGAGAGTTACCACTTCTTGATCAATTGGAAGGTCAGCTGAATGTGAGCTGTGGTTGCTGTGGTTCATGCTGGCCAAATCTCGATCTGAGATGCAAGAGAGTGAAGGCGGCTCATCTCCTATATGCACCTGAATGTAGTCCCCATCTTCCAATTGCAGAGGACTTGTCTGGTCTGAGCCCACACTGAGATGATTGTGCCAAAGATGACAGTGTACTTCTCGTTCTTGATATTGGTCCTCAAGCTCAAGTATTCGAAATACTGATCTTCTGTTGATTGTCATTGGCATCCACTTTGCATATCTTCGTAAGGCAAAGGGTTGTAGTTCTTGATCATCAAAAATCTCAATGTCAACCAGTATCAGACGGAGAAATCTCGATGGTCGCGGCTCGGTAGTCATTTGCATGATAAAGCATTGCAAGTCAGCTCTTTCAAGATCATGAGGTCGGTTGGATACATGAAAAAGTTGAGCTATGCTTGCCAAAGCAATTCCATGTTCTTGGGCAATGACAGAATGATGGTCGCTGCTGTCAGTCCAAGACAAAGTGACTGGTAAAGCTCTCCCGTCGATTGTGAAAACAATAGATCTTCTTGGGTCCTCTGAAACAAATGATGATGTAGATGAGGCAGAGGATGTCAAAGATGGTTCCTGCGGTGGTGTCAAGGTCGCTGGACGTCTGGCCATCATAGATACTGTGTCCTCTGGTTCATGATGTGACTCCGTAGGCTCTGGATTTGATGGTCTAGGATGTTGTCCTTCGGGGTCATCTTCGGCATCAGGTGGATCCCAAAGGTGCGGTATCCTTTGTCGTCTTTGTTGAGCGACTCGACTGATGAGATTTTGTTCTGCTTCTTGTTCACTGAGAAGAGAAGGAATTCGAATCTGCAAGCCCAGCCCATGAAATGTGGCAACATGTTGTCCTGGTGGATGGACAAATGTTCCAGCATGGATGGTGCAAACTCCTGCTCCAGCTTGTGTTCTTTGTCGACAAACTTCTTCAACTCCTGCAAGCTGTTGTATTCTCTCTTGTGGTAGTTGAAGTTCAGCAGAATGTGCACTCACTTGAAAATGGGTACGTGGGTCTTGAATGTGAACCGTGGTAATCAAAAATGCGGCCCTCAAGGGATCTGGATGTTGATGTACGATCACTGTGGCTGAAGTGCCTCCATAGACGTTGAAAGGTGGATCTGGTCGCACGAGGACTACATCGATCGCTGATGAATGATCGATGAGGTCTTCCCAGATAAACCTCACATCTCTTTCCCATTCCTTGACATCACTATCAAAGCGTAGTACTCGAGGCTGATCGTGGTATCGATGGTGACTATGGTCAATGAAGTATGATGTGACAAACACCACGGGCTGTTCTTCGTCATCATCAACTTCACCCTCTGTGTGGAGGAGATCCATGATAGGAGCTGCCCATGATGGAGGAGTGTCCAAACGATGAACATTGAGATTGCCATCTTGGTCAGTGTGAGCTGCAAAATCAGGAGATCTGGTGGAACTGGTCGCTTCCTGCGTCGCAGGAGAACTCCATGGGGTGCTTCCAGAAGCACCAAGTTCAAGGGGAACAACGATCTTGTACATCTTGATGCTGTCCTCGATTCCTAGCCACAATTCCAAGTCTTCTGCAAAACCCACACGCAGATTGGTTGGTCGATTGGGCCTGGAAAAAAGGTGTACTTGTACTGGATCTTGACCTGGAGGCGCTCGTACATGGGAACTTAGAGTGCACTGCCAGGATGTAGATGGAAATGTTGAAGAGAGCTCTTGTTGGAGGGCAATGGCCTGTGCTCTCGCTTGCCACTCTGACATGAAGGTCTCCTCAAGGAGTGCTCGATTGTGCCACTTCATCACTTCTGCTGGGGCTCCATGGTCCCAGTGTCGGCATAGCCCTAGGTTGTCATACGTGTACGTCATTCATGGATTAACATATGTACGATTTCCAAACTCCCCAATATTCATGGTAATTCATAGGGATTTCCATTTCATGGATTATGGTCCCAATCAATATTGGAAGGGTATAACCCCGAACTAATCATTAAGCAACCGGGGTTTAGCCGTCACTGCTGATTTCATTCCCCCTTGACGTCTACAGATTTAACTACTCAAATTACCCTACCCAAACATATTGATCCCCAAAACTTTAGAGAACAATTTAAGCACCCTAAATCTACCCAAAATGGCTTTGTCCAAGAATGCGATATCCATGAAGTTTATGGTTTCTCACTGTTTTCACTCTTGAACTTGCAATTTTGAAACACAACCCCAGTGCTGGAGAACGCCATGTTAATTTTTAAACATGGTTTGATCCCGATCAATTGGCTGGTGAGTTCCCAATCTTCGCTGGCCAGTTTTTAATGTTGCATGTTGAAACTCAATTTATCTCATTGATTTTCATGGGTAAATTAAATTTTGCCGCTTAAATTGACGTTTTCTCTGGTAAATTCCCTCATGTCTTAGGTCTCTCAGGGGGACTTCCCTACAGCCCACGGCTGCACCTTCCAACCAGCCCCAAGGCTTCCACAAACTCGCTGGGTTTCACACTCAAGGACTTGGCCTTTTGAGCGGTGCTGTCCGGTGGGGAGAACTAACCATCCTATTATGGTTGGAGCCATCTGAAACCTTGGGAGAATTGGAATGGTGATAGGACATGGATTTTGAAGATTGGGTTTCTTTGATGGCAATCTCAAAAATTGGGAACATTGGGATAAGGATCGAATCTATTTGATGGTTTTGGCATTTCAAACACATGTGGATTTTTGCTAGCATTTCGTGCAGGGGTTAGGATTCATGTTTGATCACATTGATTTTGAAGATTAATCCCACCCAGCCCCTAATATTTTTCATGCCCCAATAAGGCTCATTTCGTTCAGGGATTTCAACATGAATAGAGCCATTGCTGCAGGATTTCTATTGGGGTTTTCATAGAGGAATGGGATTTTCCGAGGCCAGTTCACCAATCCAACAACTGAGGAAACGAAACCACACATGGCGAAATGTTGAAATGACACACGGCGGAATGTTTTGCCGTGAAAATCATAGTTAATTACCAATCAACTATAATCATTATATATATATATATGACTGGTATAAAACTATGATTAACCAGGACTATAACTATATATAACTAAAACATCATGTCTTTTGTTGGAGCCTTTCTTCAGCATACAGGACCAGTTACCGATGGAAAAAGGCCTTCCGAAACGGAACGACTGTGAAACATATGTCAACCCCGAATCATATAGGTAACCCCTTTGGGTTATTGATCATGGGCGAGTACCATCTTTAATCGTATTATGTCGTAATATTCATCACATTTACAAGTATATAGTTACACCCCTCCCCCAAAAGACACGAAATTACATCAACTTACCAAAACTGGTTGGTGGTTTCAACTCCTCTGAAAAATATGAAAGTCAGATTGGGATGATTCTTCCCAACCGCCAACCAGTACCATAATTCCGTTCCCAGGATGTTGCACTTTTCTGCAATTTTGTTGGTCAGGAGGGACCCCCCCCACTGCACCAAGTTTGTACACCTGGTCCAAGAGATAACTCACGGACTCCGACTGGTTCATGGCCACCTGAAACCCGGAACAGCCGGGGCGGGGTGCAGGATTAGAGGCATTCATGAATGGTTGGGAATGGTTCACGGTTAATGATTAATCACTAGTACTGGTTACCCTCTGGTAAACATCACCATAATTATGGACAATCACCATTTTCAATGGGTAAATCCACGATTTCTATGGCCATTTTCAATAGCTATGTTAGTTTACCAGAGGGTACTAATGATTATGAATGGTTCTTACTGGGTATAACTATATACAATATTCACTTCTTGTAACTGGAACTCCCAAAAAATACCCGGGAGGCAGTTAATCTACAGTGCATCTACAGTATACCTTACTGGAGCAGCAACATTAACAGTAACCGCTAACCCACAGAGTGATGGGTCCCCAGTTCCAACGTGACCCCACTTGGGAAACCATACTCCAAGAACCCTCGATACCTTTACCCACGACGGATAGGCATCTACTACAATCACACTGAATTGCCAAAACAAAACGCTTGGGAGAGGGGTAGTTAAAGCATCACTTACATTTGGGTTATTCGGTTATAAGTGGTATATATTCATGCCATATTTATGAGCGAGGTACAGTAACATGATGCAACAAGAATCTTAGAGTCCAATGTGGGAAATCGCTGGAACATCCCCATCAAACACCGGAGCTTTTCATGGGACAAAATCGTCCACAAATGGTGGATTTTCCATTGCCACGCTTAATGAGGGTACTTTTTTTGTATAGCCGGTCATCAATCTTCCCATCACAGTGGCAACAAAAACTGCCATTCTGAAACCATTCACAATGGTCTAAATGAGTCTAAATCCTCTTCCCAAAGATTGCCATATTTTGGGGCAAAAGATTCAGTTCATGCTGGGATCCCATATGGTGTTGCTCAAATCTCCCGTTTTCCCTCATTGAATCCACCAGAAAATCTGGACACATCCTACACTTGGGGGATCATCCATCTTAGGAACTGCTTGGTAGCCAAAAGGGATAACCAATTTACTAAGTTAGATCTATATATAATGATCTATAGTTGCAAAGTATAGTTATTATATATATAATTAAGTTATATCTACTGAAGGATCATAGTAGCCATAGTGGTAACCAAGTCATATCTGGCCACACCTCCTGCAGCGTTGCCAAGGTCTGCTCTGGCAGATCCTCCAGGGAACGTGTCACCGCCACCGCCGCGATGGCAGACCTTGGTCGCTTCCCAAGGGAATGGATGGGACATAGATTGGACTATTTATTTTTCGTTCCAACAATAGTGAATAGTGGGGTGTAAATATGATGTTTCTGTCTATTTCGGGCTTGTTATGATGATAATCTTAAAGCATAACATGTGTATGTATGTGTATATATATATATATATCATCATACATCTGATTAATCATATATGTTTATATAAAACATTTCTTTCGGGATAAATCACGTGAATCTTCCACGGTGAGGTCGTTGTGAGATCCACAGTTTACCCCAAGATGTTGGTAGTTCTTGCCATTTTCTTGGCTACCATATCAAATTAGTCCATATTAATAGTCCCAAAAAAATCCAGGTGAAGATTACCCATTTATAGTACTCAAAGGCAATGAAGCATCTACCATTTAAACCATTGATTTTGCCATGAAACCATTGATGTAGCTGGGGATTTTCAACTGCCATCGAGCTGATGACAGTGGATGGAAAATCTTCCCAGCGCCCTGATCCTGGCCCGGGGCCCTGGACTCATTATCTGCCTCTTCACCATCCCTGTCATGCTGCAAGGGTCATCTTGAAACCACACATGGGGTGATACCCTGCGGGAAACATACAGAAATATGGTTCCGAATAGGAAAATGATCTACATTCATGGTGGGTTTTTCCATATCTATGTATACAAACGTTTACAGGAGGGTAGAACCCGGCATTAGGCATGTCTTAATTACTCAGAATATCTCAAAATGATTCAAACGAAATTGGATGCTCGAACAAGCGCGCACACACACACACACCAATTTGGCAAGTCCAATGCCGAAAGGCAAAGCCGTAGCGGTCAAAATATGGTACGTCGTGGTATGTTCATCCCACAATTAACCCCTGCGAATGGGGGAAGGAACATTCCCGTTTATGGAAGCTAATATCATATTGTTGGTGAAGTGAACACTAATTATTCTATTTGTATCCGCAGCATATCCTCCCATATATTCCCATAAAAATTGCTAAAATCCACCACTAAAACCATGTAACTTGACCATGGCACATTTGGGGTTTCTCTGAAAATCGTGCGAAACCCGGCAAAACATACTATACTAATCAACTGCTCTGAATAATTTACCATCATGTTTCATGTCTTTCCAGGTGTTTATCATCCTTCCTTTCTCCGATAACGTGCGACGTTGTCACCATCTCATCACCGCCCAACTCTGCCCCGTCGCCAAATGCGCCAGCATCGCCGGTCGGCGAAGGCCGCTTTCAGCGTCTCCACGAAGAATTCCGAGGTGTCTTCCATCAGTTCCTGCCAACAAAACGGTGCCGGGCACCATGGGTTACACCATGTAACACATGATATCAATATGTAGGGTAACATACTGCGATATGTATATATATATACACACAATATATATATATATATATATATTATCGGTTAATATATATATATATATATGCATATTATAGCATATTATATATACATGTGCATATTTGATTTATCTAACATAGATACAATATAATATGATAAATATCTATATATATAAAACATATATATATATATATATTTACAGTATATGTTATATATAACGTGTATATATATATATATCTTATATATATAACATGTACGTATATATATATATATGTAATGGGTGCGTCTAAACATGGGATATATCCCCAAATGACTGTTTTAGTTGCGAAAGCAACCATTAGCCAGTGGATTTGGGGATACTATGTATTTTGTTCATGGCTTTACACTGGAGTTGATCCTGGGATATATAGCCAACTTTACTTGAGGAAATCCATGCCGCATTCATGGTACATATCTATGCACATATACAGATACATCCATACAAGCACATCAATATATGGATATCCATATAATTCCATATACATATTATAACATATACATATATAACTATATAACTCTAAATAGATCATGTTAGTATCTGCGTATACGTGTTTTTTCAGCAACAAGCCAGAAATCCATAAACCATCCCGGAACGGTTTATGGCAGGTGATTCCCACATTTTTCCAACCCATGAACTTCATCGAGTATTGTTAGTCGTACAATACATCCATTATTCATCATTATTAGCCATTATAAGCCACTATTGATCATTAGATTCTTGTTATACACTCATTCTTAACCATTATAAACTAGTATTAACCGATATAATATGTTATAATCCCAGGGGTACATTGCATTCTACCAGGGGTCTTATGCCAGTGGCTAAAAACTCTTGCGACAAGCCGCAGCGGCGCTCTGCGACATCGCTTCCCAGGCCTCGCGACGACAAGTGGACAAGGTGGAGCTGCCCCAAAGCGGTCTTCATACGTTGGTCAATTGGCAATCATCTCTGGTTGGTGGTTGACCTACCCCTCTGAAAAATATGAAAGTCAGTTGGGATGATTATTCCCAATATATGGAAGTATGGAAAAATAAACAAATGTTCCAAACCACCAACCAGATCTTCAATGGCATATGAAAGTTATACAAAAATTAGACCAACGTTTTTTTGAAGATATTAAAAAAATGATATGTTGTCTATCATCAGAGACTGGATTTCATAAACCAGAATTATTGGAGTAGTTTTCAACCACTACTGGAGTTATAAACCATGTATTATACACCATGTAAACCATACAATAAAAACCATATTATCATTACATATGGTCATACTTGCCATAAACCAGTACAAACTAAAACCATAATTACCGGAGCGATGCTTACCAACTTAGCTATCTCGGGGGGCAAACACTTGTAGCATCTAAATTGCCGATATCTGTTCATTTGAGGAATTGAATCCAGGACTTAAATCCTGGAAGTAAATCGTGAGGTCTATGTTTCTACATTCAATTTTATCAATTCCCAAAGATTCAACATCTTGTCAAATCTAGATCCAGTGAAACGCATTTGACCTGCCTGGCAAGCCATTTCATTCGGTTTCGAACATCACCAGCAACAACACTACAAATGGATACACACGGTTGGATTTTTTTAAATCATCATCAATCTGGTGGAATGACAGGGACAACCCTTGATGGATTAACACAGAAATCCATAGCCTCTGGTAATTTAGCATAGCTATTGAAAATGGATGAACATGGCCATTTATAGTGAGTTTTCCCTTCAAACATGGTGATGTTCCATAGTTATGGTGATGTTTACCAGAGGGATCCAGAGGGTAACCTTCCTGGGATGCTCCAGATTGGTTTTTGAAACCAGCGCTTGCTGTGTCCAAGACTTGCTGACGTCAAGGTGCATTCAGCATGCAGTTTCACCATCTCAAACACCACCGCCCATTCCCTCCCTGTCATTTTTTGTCAACCTTGGATGAATAAATATGAAGAACAGCCCCATGGGTGTTGACTTCAAGGCAACCAAATATACAACTCACGATATCTTTCAAGGGTGACCCCCAATCCCTTTCAGGGTTGAGAAATTTGATGACAAAACAACAACTGTGATTTGTTTGCTCGTGAAACATCATATACACATACTTATAATATATCCCCATCAAAATCATCAAAGTCATCAAAATGGCAACAAAAACAGTTCTACAAAAGCATCGAAACTGGTTGACTTCAACCAATTCAGGGAGAAACGGGAGATTTGTCCCCAAGAAACATGGCAAATTTCAGTGGGAGTTCCATCCGGTTTTGCCAGAATTCTTGGCTCCCAATCCGCTTATCACACAAAGAACCCTCCCCCCTTTTATCCTCATAATTGTTGGTGCAATGCCATCCCAGGATATAGCGCAAATCCAGCTGGTTGACCACGGCGAACCCAACTGGGACCCCCGACCCCTGCTTCAGATCCCTTCTCAGCAGCCCGCTGGACCCGCTGGACCCGCTGGACCTGTGGAAGTGGTGGGATCAAGTCGTTCAAATTCAACGTCAGCATGGTACGAAACTATATAGACTAATATATATATATATATATATATGTTTTTTTAAATAATAATGTATATTATATATATATATATGTTATATATATATGTTATATATATATATATGTTATATACACATTATAATATGAATGTATACAAACACGAGATATGAAGCAAACATGGTCCAATCAATGATAATCAATGGATTCGTTTAAGGGAACATCAAATGATGAAAAGTGAGGTGGTTGGTCGCGATAATTTGCCCAGAATCATTCTTTATTGTGTATGTTGCATATGCTATCTGCTTCATATATACAGAATAAATTTGATATACACATATACATACACACATTGTATTCTTATGTAAAAGTACATCTATATACATCTATATGTACAAATATATACACAGATCATGTATATCTGTATACCCTCTGGTGAACTAACATAGCAATGGAAAATGGCTATTTAGTTCGTGGATTTTCCCAACTATAGAATGGTGATTTTCCATTGCTATGTTAGTTCACCAGAGGGTAACCACTTTTTTTGGGGATCGTTTTCCTGTAAATGTTCCCATCCAAGTTCGATTCCTGTATATCTGTAAATAGTATATAGGTTATACAGCAGTATATTTGGAGGTTTCCCAAGTCATGGGGGGCCCCCGAAATCTCACCTGAGCTCGGACGCCAGCGAAGCTGGTGGAGTAGGGCGCCACTTCGCGGCGCAAGCTGAGCAGCAACCTGCTCTGGGCATCGACTGACAAAGATCGAAAATCCATAGAAAATCCATAGAACATCCATAGAAATTTCATAGAAATTTCATAGACAATCAATGGCAAATCCATAGAAAGTTCATAGAAAATCAATGGAACATTCATAGAATTCATAGAATAATTCATAGAACATCCATAGAAAATCCATGGAAAATTCATAGAACATCCATGGAAATGTCATAGAAAATCTATGGAAAACCCATAGAAAATCCATGGAAAATTCATAGACAATCCATGGAAAAATCATAGAAAAACCATGGGAAATTCATAGTGCAAAGGGACATGCAGTGTAGTATCTGTTCATATCAGTTGACAACTGCTGACAACAACTTACTTCCGACTGGAAGGCTCTTTTAGGATCAAAAGGCGCGCTGCTCTGCCTTGCACAGGTTATGAGCCCAACGCTCAGCTGAAGGGGCGTTTGCCATGTCGTGGACTAGAGCGAGTTCGGTGCCAACTGGTAGAGGTGGACCTCGAGGTCTACGGCTGGATCAAGAAGGCCGACCAGGGCATGGAGGCGAACGAGCTGGACATGATGGCAGAGACCTTCGGCATGGAGAACAAGGAGCTCTACCCAATGGCAGTGATGGTCAAGGTGGAGGACGAGCTCTACTACGAGGCGAACATGGAGGGGCTCTACGGCAAGAACTGGATGTGAGCACTGACCTGTTGGACTTAGGCACCGAGCCGAATCCGTGGTGGTCAGCAGGGGTTCAGCAAGAACACCTACGAGAAGCACGTCAGTTGGCCATGGAGCAGCCGATGTGGAGGCCAAGGGAAGAGGTCTCAGTCAAGGAGGACCTTCCGGAGATAGAAGATGCAGACGCGTCGCGAGAGTTGGAGCCGCTAGCAATGGGACGAATGAGTGCTCCGTCAAGTTGGAGTACAAGACGAGGTGTGGCCTTGCAGACTCAAGGGGCTATGCCATCAAATGATGATGAAGACCTTCGGCATCCTCAAGATGTTGGACAAGGTCAACATGCTGTACAGATTCAAGGTGTAGGCCTTCGACATCCTCAAGATGCTGGACAAGGTCGCCGTGAAGTACACCCTCAAGGTGTGGACCTTCGACATCCTCAAGATGTTGGACAAGGTCAACATGCAGGACACCCTCAAGGTGTCGATCAATTTGCACACTCTCAAGGTGTGGACCTTCGGTATCCTCAAGATGCTGGACAAGGTCAACGTGCTGGACACCCTCAAGGTGTCGAACAATGTGGACACCCTCAAGGTGTCGATCAAGTTAGGCACCCTCAAGGTGTCGATCAAGTTAGGCACCCTCAAGGTGTCGATCAAGTTAGGCACCCTCAAGGTGTCGATCAAGTTAGGCACCCTCAAGGTGTCGATCAAGATGAACACCCTCAAGGTGTTGAACAAGTTGGGCACCATCGAGGTGTCGCGACAGGGCTACTTGCTGGAGAAGTGCAACGTTCTGGCAAGGGGCATGGTCAAGGAAGAGTTGTGCAGCCCAATGGGATGGGAGGTGAGATACCATCTCATGGGGTTGCAAGACAAGGTGGGAAGACTGGAGGACTGGGAGGTGAGATACCAGTTCAAAGGTCTGACATCATGCAAGAGGCTGGACACCATCGAGGAGTCAGCCGTGGACCCTCAAGGTCTGAAGTTAATGTGCAAGAGGCTGGACACCATCGAGGAGTCAGCCGTCATGGACCCTCAAGGTCTGAAGGAAATGTGCAAGAGACTGGACGCCACCGAGGAGTCAGTCATGGTTATGGACCTGAACGACGTCAAGTTCAAGGTCATCGAACAGTACCAAGTGGTCTGCGAGATCAATCTCAAAGACGAGGTCATCGGCAAGATGATGGATCACCCTTGGAAAGAGTTCCAATGGGAGTGCAACAGTATGAGATGAGACGACAGATGCCACGTGAGGCAAGTCGACAACCACAAGGTGCAGTACAAGGTTGTAGCACAAGAACCTTTGTGGACGATGTCAATCAACAAGGAAGAGATGAGCGTGATGAGCTCAAGGGGGCTTTGGAGCAATCAATGGTTGAAGAGCTTCACAGACAGAAGCTTGAGATGGAGAAACAAAAGGAAGAGATGAAGAAGTATGCTGAGGACTTGCAACGCCAGCGTGATGAGTTTGAAAAGAAGAATGAGGAGTTGCAGAAGGAGCTCAAGAAGAAGAGTTCAAGCGTGGAACCACCAACAACACCACCGCGCCGACCTCAGTACTACTCGCTGTCACCAAGAACAACACCTGGAGGAACTCAAGTTCCGCCTGGACAACCACCACTGGAGGTAGCAGATCTTCCAGAACTTCCGCCATGGCAGTTTGACCCATTTGCAGTTGATGAGCATGTGGGTGGTGGAACAGGTTTTGATGGTTTGGAGGATTTTTGGACTCCAGTGGATCAACAACCACAACAGCAGCATCATCTTCAACCTGGAGCAGATCGCTTTGCATGGTTGGACAGAGAGGTCAGGATGATGCATGGCGAAAGACCAAGGTTGACAGGTGAGTACTGGGAGCAACCGGTGCACAGACATGGTGGTCCACCAGCGGATTTTGGTTATGTTCCGCAACCACCACCACAACCGCCTCAAGGACATGGAGTTGGACCTTCTGGTGTACCAATGTATGCAGCACCAATGCAATATGGTTCAATGCCACTGCAATGGCAACAACCTCAACCACAAGCAAAAAGTCCTGATGGCGAAGCTTCTGAGGTGCTGAGAAATGTGCCAATTACACTGCCAATTTTGAAGGACGTGTCAGAGCCTCAAGCTGCTCTTCGTGCAGGAGATTGGTTAAGTGAGTTGATGCCGCTGATCTCAGATGTCTCAGAAGGCGCAAGAGTGTGGTGGACCGGACTAGTACAACGAGCTCAAGATGCCTATGCCACATGGCTGACAGCAGGTCCAATGGATCGCATGGCTGTGCAACCTGACCTTCAAGTGGAGAACAAGTATGTCAGGTTGGAGTCTCGCGTGCTGTCAATGTTGTTAGCTGCAGTGCCACAGACGGTCAAACAAGAAGCAATCTCTTTGCGAGAGATGACATGTGTGCAGTTGGTGTTTCGCATCTTGAAGCTGTACCAACCTGGTGGTCTCAACGAGAAAAGCACCATCCTCAACAACTTGACCCAAACAACAACAGCCAAATCTGCAGCTGAAGCTGGTGAGATGCTACGCCAATGGCGACGCCAACTCCTGCGAGCTCGTGAACTTGGACTACAGGTTCCAGATCCCTTGCTGCAGGTGAGCGCACTTTCTGAAGTGATGCGGACAGTGATTGCGAAGGAGCATCAAGCGAGCTTTCGCATCAGCAACTTCCGCATGACCCATATGGTGGATGTGGCGCCTACACAGCTCACAGCGGAGAACTATCTGCAGATGTTGATTGCCGAAGCGGATCACTTGCATCATGGAACAATGACGAAGGCAAGTCCGACTTCTGGCAACCCCAAGATCAACGTGGTCAATGCTGCTGGTGACAAGGGTGGTGGCAAGAAGGGATCTCCTGGTAAGAAAGGCTATGGCAACAATGCAGAAGGCAATGCTTATGGTGCAGGAGCTGGAGCATGCAAGCATTGGGGTAAACCTTACGGATGCCTCAAGGGTGACAAATGCACCTATGCCCATGAGTGGAACAATCTCAACGACAAGGAGAAGAGATGTTGGAAGTGTTCCAGTTTGGAACACATTGCTAAAGACTGCACCGCTGGTGACAAGCTTACGACAAGTCCGGGCGACAAAAGCTCCAAAGGAAGCCCTAAAGGCAAGGACCGGGACAAGCCGGTCGGGGGAGTGGATCAGTCACCAAAGGATTCACAGCCTCAAGTTGCCCAGATACAACAGCAACCTCAAGTTGCCCAGATACAACAGCAACCTCAAGTTGCTCAGATACAACAGCAACCTCAAGTTGCTCAGGTACAACAGCAGCCTCAAGTTGCTCAAGTACAACAACAAGTTCAGCCCTCAGTCATGGGTGAAGTTGCCAGTCTTTTGAAGACAATGCGAACAACGTCAACGACTCCAAGGGTGTTGGCGGTGGTGACTGACAGCAATCAGGGTGTGCTACTGGACTCAGGGGCCACGCATATCCTTAGAGGACCCTATGATGAGACTGAGTGGATGCAGGCGATCCCAACAGAGGTACAAACAGCGACTGGAAAAACACAGCTGAGGATGTCAAAGATGAGCAGATCTTTGTTGACAAAGGATGATCTGCAGCCAATTGTGCCTTTGGGAATGTTGACTCAGCATGGATGCAAGATGAGGTGGCATCGCGATGGGTGCGCTCTCACACATGGCAAGCTGGGTGAAGTGAAAGTCACAGTTCGTGACAATTGTCCCTACGTGACCAATGATGTGGGGATGAAGCTCATTCGAGAGCTGGAAACTGCTGAAAAGAACAAGCAGTTGATGTTGCGAAGTTTGGAAGTCACAGGTTGGAAGCAGGAAGACAAGGACATGGCCAACAAGCTCAAGAAGTTGTTTCCTGAAACACCTGTGGATTTGTTGCAACCTATGGTAAGCAAAGCTGGTGATGAGGCTCGATTGCCATGGAATCGCCATCAACGGCGACGCTTCAAGAAGGCCAAGGGCATTGTGCTGAATTTGTTTTCAGGTCCAGATCAAGCGTGGTGGTCAAAAAGAATGCCACATGACATCGAAGTGGTGAATGTGGATCTACTTCGAGGACAAGATCTTTTGGACTCAGCAGTTTGGCACTTTTTATTGCAGTTTGTGAGGTCGGGTCGAGTGGTTGCAGTACTTGCTGGCCCACCGTGCAGAACAGTATCAGCTGCACGTTACCGGTCTGATGGAGGACCGCGGCCTGTGAGATCGAGACATGGTTTGCAGAGGTTTGGCCTGGATACCAACACGATGATGGAGCAACAGTTGGCAGACACTGACAGCCAGCTCTGGCTGAGAACACTGCTCTTGATGTATGAGGCCAAGCTCTACAACCCTGACGTCAAGGCCGTAGTGGAGACT